TCAAAGATCCGTGCCAGAGGCTGGGCTATGATGCTCACCAGCTCCTTGAGCACCCTGGGGTGTAGATTGTCAGGGCCGGCTGACTTGAAGGTATCCAGCCTCTCAAGGTGTTCCTTCATGAGGTCAGCATTGATGGAGGGCAGGGGATCTCCCTCACCCGGACCTCCCTGTCCCGCAGTGGGCTTCTGCATCTCATGGGACTGATGAAAGATCAAAGTTGATCTTTGTCTGCTTTATAAAGCTTTTTAAACTTCTGTATCCTAAGTTAATCAAATCCAGTTCTTCCAGCTTTTCCTAGTAAATCACATCTCTATGTTTCCCAGTAGTTTTATTGCTCTCGTTCAGACTCTCTTGACTTTTTAATAAATATATAGACAAAGTGGTGCCTGAAATTGGACACAGTGCTTCAGGTGAGGCCTCACTGACATCATGTAAAGGGGGGTAATTAAATCCTGTGTTCTACAAATGATATGTCTGTTAATATTTCCTGGATTTAAATAAGCTGTTATTGCAACAGTATCAGATTGTTTACCCGTATTTGGTTGTGATCCAGTATACTCTTCAGATAATTTTCGGAAACAGTCCTGCCTAGCCAGCTCTTCCCAATACTGTATTTATGCATTTGTTTATTTTTTTTCCTAGATGCAGAACTTTGTACTTGGCTATAGTGAATTTTATCTTATTGATTTCAGACCATTTCTCTACTTGTCAAAATCATTTTGAATTCAGATCCTGTCTTTTCAGGATGCTTTCACTCCTTCCCAGCAGGTAGCCTTATACATTTTAGAAAGTGGACACAAAATCTGTGACATTAATGAATGAAAACCACTTAAAAGAACCAGTCCATACCAGATTGTGCAGTCCATTTAACCTTTTGTTCCAGTATCTCTACAGGTAAAGTGCATAATAGATTTTATATCAGCACTAAGGCTGTATCTAGGTATAGGACTTTTTTCAGATCCTTGCATTGTAGATCTGACACTGTCCAGTAGTTCAGGCAAAGGAACCAAGCTGAGATCCAGCCATCAGGCTGTCATAGCATTTAAACAGTGTTTCTTCACAGGTATAATCTCTCCCACCTGACCTGGGTTGCTAGAGTCCCCTTGTTGCTAGGCCTGATGACTGGGGAGCATATCCTTTCTGAAGATGTCAGGAACAGTCCTCTACTTCCAATGCTTTCATCTTCCTGCAGTGGTATCCTGCACGTTCAAATGTCATGGACCTCCAGTTGTATAGTGTTTCTACTGGGTAGTTTTGGGACTGGTGGAGTAGTTTGCCTCCTTTCTCCCTCTACCAGCCCCTTCCCTTGCCAATAAAAGTACATTTAAACTTTCTTTTTCGTCTCTTTTTCTTTAACCCTTTCCCTCCTTTGCATGTACTCCACAAACCTTGCTTGATAACTTATTCCTTATGTTCAGCCATGTGGGGTGTGAAACATTTCAGCTTGATTTCCCCTTTGACTCCTTAGTTCCTTTATTATTATTATTATTATTATTATTATTATTATTATTATTATTATTATGGTAATTTCTGCTATGTTACCTAGCTGACTTTGCAGAGGGACTAGGCAGTGTGCTGTTACCCCATGAGATGAAGGCTGAAATGATCAGACTTCTCTGCAGTAGCCAAGAAGATAAGTAATTAGTGCTGTCCATAAGGCTTTTCCTATGTATTTGTCTCATCCCCCTTAAGGATTAGCCCAGAGGTAGAGAGGGAGGCACTTAAATTCTTTTTCTCTTAACAAACAAGCCTCTATGGAGACCAAACCACTCTGATACTGTTCTGGCCAGGTAGAGAACAGATCATAGGGGCTATGTCTACACAAGATGCTTTATTGTGCAGTAGACTAATCTACTGCACAGTAAAGCGTCACCATTTACACATGCAGGCACTTACTGTTTTATACTTAGCATAGCAATCATGAGTACAACATGATTTCAGCACTAATTTTTCCAAGGTTTGTGCTAATTAGCTCTTTCATTTATCTCTTTCTAGCTGAATCCTTTAAGGAATTTGCAGAATTGCTCCAGGAGGTAGAACTTGAGAGATCAATGATGGTAAGCTGACCTGTCCTGAACAACTGTTGTGGCTCCTTTGGTATTTTGATATTTAACTGCAAAGCTTGATATTTTTAAAGAAATCACTCAGCCAGGCTTGGAGTATATAATGACAATGAGCTGTATACTGCCAAAGATAAAAGTAACTGTTAAAAAGGAACATGGTTATCACTGTGCTACACAGGGGGTAGCTGGCACTCCTACACAGAAACTCATGTGGGAGTAGGATATAGAACTTCTTTCTGTTTCCATATGGTTTGCAAAAAGTGACCTATCTTAGCTCTTTGCACTATCAGAGCTAGCTTTCCACCCAAGAAAGAGCATTGGTTTGGGCATACACCCAAAGCTGGTTCATCACATTATACGTGGTAGGGAAGTGACAGATTTGTCATGAAATCACAGCAGACATGAAGGGTCTCAGAGTTGCTCTTGGTCCTACGCGATTATAAAAGCTTGGGTCTCCATATCAGTGGCATCTTGATGATGTCTATTTTTAATTGTTTCACATACAAAGGTCACCAGAGGGCAAGTAGCATGTTAACACCTATTTCACCAAAATTGCCTGTTTGCAGCCTATGGACACTATTCCATTGTTGTCTGCATCTCTCTCTCCACTGCATTGCACCACTTTCTCTGATAGCAACTCTACTGGAGAGCCTAAGCCTTCACTGTGTTTTGTGCCAGGTTACTTAATCTTTTAAACAAACTAATAGTCAGCACAAGAAGTGTGAAATGTGCCCCAAATTTTGCAGAATGTAGAGCAAATCTAAATGTGTCTCACATTTGCATTACATTTCCTCACTAGCATCCTACTGCATTAAGGGTTCTGTGTTTTCAGTTCTGTGGTCATTTAACTCTGTCTTAGTTTATGGTCAGTTGCTTAGTAGGTTTGGGAGCCCAAAACTGTTACCCAGTTAAAAGCCTAATAGTGGAGAAAATGTAGGTTTCCTGGCTCAGCCTCGGCCAGCCCAATTGTGCTTTGGCAGTGTACAAGGTAGTTACAATTTCCAATTGCCCTGTCATTCAAGAGAAGAAAACCAGAAACCAGTCATATACACTAGGTTTCCCACCTGGGCAGGACAGGCTAGGCTGAATCACTTTACATCCACCTTCCGACCTGTACAAAAAAAGTCTCTGTTGGCATTACTGTTCTGTACGTTGGAAGGCAAAGGAAATTGGAGGCCTTGGAGGGTTCTCAAGGACATGTTGTTGTATAATGTGAAGAACCCCCCTCAGGGCTTATCCATTGATAGTCAATACTTAGTATTGACATCTTCCTCTGAATGCTCCAAAGGGCTCAGGAACAAGGAGAGCCATTCTCATTATACAACATAAAGGAGCCGGGGGTTGAAGGAGACTTGTCCCATTTAAGTTGCTGGTCACCAGGGAAGATCCCATCAGGTGTTCTGCTCTAAGCAGGCAGAAGCAGCACGTGGCAGGTGCCCTGATGGGCTGCCGGGTTTCCCGTCATTCTGAAGCAGTCATGTTCTGATGAGCCCAGCTGTGCTTTGCCTGGAACAAATTATTTCAGGCTTTCTTCACTCAGTGAAGTCAAATGTTGTAAAATATGAAGTAATGCACATTTTTATGGCTTTTTAAAAATTGAGTGAGCAGCCATTCCCCCTGTGTTCATGCCTCTCCTGGGATGCAGCTCCAGCAGTGTGATTCACTCCCTTCTGTCTCTCATTACATTGTGCCCTTTTGTCTCCAGAGCTCCGCCATCATTTATTGAATTCTGGCTCCCCGTTTCACACTTAATCCAGGAAAAACACGAAGGTTAGAATCAGTGGAGGCCTTTCACAGCATGCCAGGAATTCGCTACTTGGCTCTGCTTTCCCTTGCCCTAATACGGTGATGAAAAGGCTTCCACTAGGCTGTCTGGCTGAATTAGAAAGACAGGGATAGTTACACCTCTGGGGATGCCAGGACTCAGCTCTGTGTGGTTGTACAGCAGGCAAGGGTGAGGGTAACACAAGAGAAGGAACCAGCAATTGACTGAAATCGACTGACAGAAGGCAATGAGATTTTGTTTTATTCCATCTCTGATCCAGTGGCTACTTAACTGCTGGATGGGTGGATGGATTCTGGGCATTACCAGCGACTTTACAGTTTGCAGGTGCTTAGTGATACCATCTGAGACCATGTTTTCTTCATCTTTGTCTACCCTTGGCACATTATTTATAGGATCAGCCTCTTTTACAACACATCCACAGACTATATATTTCTCACTATCTTACCCCTAGTCTTCTACTGAATTCTGTGCTGGTTCTCACTGCACTGAGAAAGCTCTCTCCTTTTGTCCCCCAGCTTTTACAGAAACAGGGATGGGAAACCTGGACTGGTTAGGCTGGAGCTGGGACCAGTGGCACAAAGAAAATACAGGATTCCCTGGGAACAGTCAGACAGCCTGCCTGAGGGGAACACCCTTCACTGAACATTTTTAATCAGATAAATTAGGACTTGCAATTTTTTTAATCGTCTTCCTTTTGCCCCAGGATCCTTGTTTAGCCATTGTGTGCATTAACACTGAAAACTGCCTTACTGCAAAGGGACCTGCTTTTATTCCCCTTACTGATTGTGAGTCAGTAAGAACAGTCCTCAGTTATTTATTTGAGACCCAGGTTTTAAACTCATCCCATACAAGTCTTCCAGGGTCCCCACATTTATGACATTCAGAAACCCTGAATCCTAAACCTGAGTTTATGGGAAGTGCTATGCCAAAGATACAATGCCAGCCTTCTACTCTCCCTCATGCCTTTCCTGCACTCAGTTCCAGGATGATACTGTCTCTAGGGTTTGGGGCTTACCCGTATCAGGACCTTGCTGGACTGAGATATGGGATGCAAGTTACTCTGGGATGGTTAGGTTTAAAAATGGCCCATTTCAGAATAAATTCAGTCATTTCCTAGGAATGCATTCATTAGCTTTGGTTTGTTCTAGTCACCAAGAAATGCTGGCAGTAAGCCAGGCTTCTGGCTTGGGAATCGTATTCACCTGCTATGGTTTTGCACTGAATGAAGAATAGAAACTATAGCAGACCAGCAGGGCTTGAGCAGTGCCTTTGAGTGGCATTGCAATGAGCACAAAGGCTTCTTTTGGTACCAAATACAAGAGGCAGAGAGAAGCAGCTGCAAAGGGATGCACATCTCTTATCCTGTTCCTGTCTGCTAAACTGGGCAGGATAATCCTGTCCTGACTGGTTATTGCAGACTAGAAGCAATCAGAGTTAAAACAAGGTTGTGGACTCCAGTGTGCATGATGCATGCAATCGGTTCCCTGGTGTTTTATTTCTGCAGGACAGAAGTAAATAAAACAGACCTGTCCTCTCATGGATGTTTCTGGGTTCTCACAGAGCACTTTCGATCTCTGTCTGTCAGCCCATCTCATGGGAGTTGGGCATAACAGCCAATTTCAGCTACAGGGGAACAGGTAGGGGAACCTTGTTATTTCCTTTGAAGGCCTTGCATTGTGTGGGCTCTTGCTGCAGTGCCCAGCAATAGGGTCACCAAAGAGAGGTGGCTTACAGGCAACATAGAATTCTTCTTTTAAGGATGCCAGTCCCAGAGTGTGAATAACAGGGCTTGGGACAGCAGTGCAGATCTCATTCAAGGCAAAGACTTATGTTTTGTTATGGGCATTTGGGTGTTTGTCACTAGCTTTGCTCTGCAGTTTGGATTGAGAGAGTCCATAAAAAATACTAGGCCAAACCGTTTCTTATAAAGAATGCTGTGTCCCAGCTTAGAACAAGAGTGTCTATGACACTGTTACAAAGGTCCTAAAAGCCCAAGAGAATATTCCTTCTGTTCTCTTATGCCCTAAAGTTTGGCCTTTTGATTCCTGTATTTCAATAGGAAACAGCAAACTAAAAAATGATTAAAAACTTACTGTGGAAGATGGTAGCAGAGTTTAACAGAGCATGAAGTTGCCTTTCCATGGTACTGTAGAGATTGTAGACCTGCAAAAGTCTAATAGTAACCCTGACCACTCGAGTTGCATGGCATGTCCTCAAAATCCCATGTGACATAGGTTAATATTATGCCCCCCTTAGGGATGAGGAAAGGGGATATTGAGAGGGCAAGTGACTTGGATTAAGAAAAGTCAGCAAGTTGATGGCTGAGCTGGCATTGTTTGTTCCTGGTTTTCATCATGACCTGATCTGCTGGTTTGTGCAGCTACCAATTAGCTAACAGATATGTGTCGTACAGTTAAACTCTTTGTTTTGTGTTTTGCAGGTGCAAAATGCTAGCGATTTGCTGATTAAGCCACTGGAAAATTTCCGTAAGGAGCAAATAGGATTAACGAAAGTAAGTGATGGTGTGGCTTGATTTATTAGTAGTAGTATTATTATTAGTACTAGTATTATTGACAGAGGCCCTGAATAGATTGGGCTGAGATTTTCTGCTTACTGTCCCAATCCACTGGGGGCATGAAGAACTTCTCCCCTCCCGTGTGCAGGCATTTAGCTGCCAAAACAAGATTCCCTCCGCCCCCCCCCCATCTCTCAATCATGAACAACATCAAGGCCCCTTCCTGAACTCCTGGCACTCAGCCCTGGCATAATCCCAGCACTGTGCCCTTCCTAAGAAACCTATATCCTTTCTTCCATCAGAGATCAAAAATCCCCTTCTTGCATTAGTTCATGTGCCAGCAAGGATGGAGGGGAGTGTAAAGTTATACATCTTGGACTTTGTTATTCCAAACTGAATTTCTTATAAATTAAATGCTTTCCCCATGCCCAAAATATATCTGAGGGGAGGGAAAAAATGTGTAGAGGCCAGCAATCAGGACTTAATCATGACCATTGGGCTCACTTTCTGAAACATTTAAATAAGGCTGCTAATGGGTCTTTCAGATGCACTAAGTTTTTAAAGCAGAACACCATAAAAAGTAAGGATTGCATATGAGTAGAAAATATTATTTCTCTCTTGTCTACTATCAAGAAGCAAGGTTCCATATTACTCAGCAGTGGCTTGAAATGGGGCTGGCTCTGAACCAGCTCTGAAATGGAGATGTTTTGGAGAATTCTTAGAGTTTGGATTCAGCCCAGCCCATCTGGAGTCTCTGACATTTAATAAATACTGAACTGGAGAAAATGAGAATGAGGTCCCATCTCCAAGCAGTTGTGCTTTTAAAGTATGTATTTGAAGAACCACCACAATGTAAATAGGTTGAAGCTTGTGCCATGTTGCAATGTCTTGGCACAATGTGTGTGGCTGTGTACTCCAAACATAATAAAATAGCCGTATCTATAACCAGCCATCTTTCTCAAGCACCTGATAACCAAGTGCAATCCACATGGCTGCTCAGAGACCAGTTTCATCCTGCTTCTTGTGGAATGGCCTTCATTAGTAATGACAACAGCAGTTTTATCGATTGTAAGCTGGTTGGGGCATGGACCATCATTTTCTTATGAGTCTGTACAGCATCTAGCACAGTGGGCTCCTGAAATACCACTGGGGAAACTTGGCACTACTGCCAAATAAATACTTTAATAATCAGGCACCAATTTTGCCTAAAGTTTCCTTCCTGAGCTAATCTTTAAGGTTCCTTCCATCAGGATCTATTATGTAGGCTTCACTTTATTCTCACTCATCCCCTGTTTCTTTGGATGGCATAATAAGCCACCAGCTTCAGGGAGTCCAAAGAACCGATCCCAAAGGGATCAACATCTGCTGACAGGCTTCAGATGGACATTGTCCATCTGTTGTATTGCATCAAAGAATTTAAGAAGCTAGTATGCAGAAGTGGAGAAAAGACAAAGGGGTGCCCAGAGAGAGGAGTGTCTCTGAGTTCTATATAGACTTTTGTCCCCTCTGGTAGGAAATGTTAAATAGTGAGTTTTTAGGGACACTTGAATGAGCAAAGGGTTGTGGCCTAGTAAACTGGACTAAGGAGGGTATTTTGTTCTTTGCCCTTCAACACACACTCCTGCATAGATTAGGAAGCAGCATCTTGTCCTGCATGCTATTATGAAGTGTTGAAGAGAAAGTACAATTTATGTGAGTGTTTTAAAGGCTGTTTGAGCTTTCTTCATTACCATGGTACATGTTCAAAGCATGGAGATATGGAGACCTCAGTTAATAAATAACTGCCCCCCATCCACCTCCCCACTTCCACTGTTGCCCCAGCTTCCACATCCTGTCTTCAGGCATGCAGAGATGGCCTACCAAAGCCTAAAACCACATCCCCATCCAAGACCCTACAAACAGGGATGAGACGTCTGAGCATTCACAAACTCGCAGAGCTGTGAATCCACTCTTTTACTTAAATAATTGTCTCAGCACTGCTGCATCCTTAGCATTAGAAAGTGGGGGGCAGAGGAGGGCTAGTGCAGTTACAAGAGCCTTTCATCTGAGGTCTCACCAATAGGCAGGCTATAAAAGATAAGAGACTTGCTCCCCTGATTCCTGCCTCAGCCTCATTTACCTCCATTGACTTCAGCGTAGTGTCTCCTGGTTTACAGCAGTGAGAGTGAGGTCAGAATTGAGCCTTTAGTTGTGCTGAGCAGAGGCATGACAGAGATAATTTGTACTCTCCGATTCCTGTTTTCCATGTCTTGTCAGAGTCGCCTTCTGTAAGATGTTTTCCATTCTCTTTCAAGGACAGTGGTGCCAGATAGGAAGGGCATTTCAATTGGGCTTTTGTCATGTCTGTGGTTGGTAAATGGCCAGATGGTCTGACTAGGACATATGAGTCTGCATTAACCCGTTTTCCTGGGAGATGGATGGAGTCTGTCTGAAATGGGGTATTCCAACACAGGCACCCATGTGGGGTGCCATTAGGATACCACACAAACCTCTTTTGTCAGGTTTCCTTTTCTGTCAAATCAATGCCTTGGATTATGGCCGTTTTTCATGAATGGTAGACAGGGCTGGATTAACACATAAGCAAACTAGGCATGTGCCTAGGGCCCTGAGCTGGGGTCGGGGGGGAGAGTCCTTCCCTCCACGGCAGTGGTGTGAATGGCCCTGTCTGCCTCCCTTCCCTTTCTTTCCCCTGCCGTGGGCCCTGAGCTGCAGGAGGTCCCAGTCCTTCCCTCAGTGGTGGCAGCGCAAATGGCCCCATCCGCCTCCCTTCCCTTCCCTTCCCCTCCCCTCTGCTGGTCTCACTGCTGCAGTGGCCACCAGGTCTGAGCCCCGCTCCCTGCAGGTGGCAGAGCTGGGGTGGGGAGGGGAGCCTCAACTGACCTGGGGCCCACAAGTTGGTTTGCGTAGGGCCCACTAAAGGGTTATTCTGGCTCTGGTGGTAGGTAGCTGTTTGTGTGTATGAATAGTAGGAAAGTAGCAATATAAGGAACATCTGCACTGTATTTATCTCCAAGGCAGCAAAGAATCCCAGGGTGAGATCAGAGCTCACTGGTCTCTCAGTCCCTAAACATACCATGTACAGGTTTCCCTCACTTTTATGTGGGTTCTGTATGTGCGAGTTCACTCTTATGCGATGACCCTTTTTATACTAAAAATTTGTTATATGCGAGGTAAATTCAGTCTTATGCGATCGGTGTGGTGGAAACCTGCACTCAGCTGCTTTGTGCAGTGCATTGTGACAGTGGCGCACACCAAAATATAGTCTCCTGTGTGGATCTGTGCTCCTCGCTCATTGTCTGCGACACACATTTCTGTAGTTGCCATCCCCATTATGGTCTCTAAGCATCTCGCTATCTTATCTCCTACCCTTCTCCTTAGTGCACCACCACCCACTAAACATTCACCACCACCCTGTGCTGGTGTGTGCTGCCTGCTGTTGGTGAGTACCAAAATTGTCTTGTAAAAATGATAGAAATGGGTCTGGAGGTCAGTACAGTCAAGGTCTTGGAACGTATCCCTATTTGTTACATTGTAAAGTGGGTTCTTTATATGAATTCAGGTTATGTGCTGTTTTCCAGGAATGCATAGACAGCATAAAGCAAGGGAAACCTGTACTCTAAAACTGGTAGTTAGTGAATGATCAAATGAGATGAGAGCTCCAATGAGATCCAGAAAGAGTATATCTAGTGCAGTGTTCTTGAACCAACTCCACTTAGGAGAGAAACAGGCTGGTGGGTTTGTTTTTAATCTACATCGTAAATATATGGGCCAGATCACTGGCTTGATCCAAAGCCCAGTGAAGTAGAAGTGAATGCTTCCATAGTTTTCAGTGGGCCTGTGGATCAGCCCTGTGCTGCTTACCTGTTACAGTAACCATTGAGCCCACAGTATATCCAGTAAAAATAACCATGACATTTGAAAATAAATGGAAACATGCAACAAGTTCTCTCCCTCGTGCTGCTGGAAAGGGGAAGCTCTCAAAAAGGAGAAGGAAGGAGTGGAAGTTTTGGGTGTTTTGAAGAAGGAGACATGCTAACTGCCACATGGGAATATAAAAAAGGAAAAATCTACATTTGATTAGGACACCCAGGAACCAAGGTTAACTGGAAAGATGTCACTTGCATAATATAGTTACTTCTGATCTATGCAATCTACAACTCTGGGGTTTGGAGGAACAAAGATGCATTGTAGCAGAAATCATTTTTTTTTTTTTTATTACCCCAAGAAAAGATGTTGGTCTTTGGAGAGCAGTAGAAATCACTTCAGCATGTTTCTACAGAATAATGCTGCCCTACTGACACACATGAAAGCTTTTTCACATTAAAAGAATGCGTCTGTTCCCCATCTCCTGCTTTCATGACCGTCTAGCTAAGTGCTTTGACGTTTCTATTTGTAAGCAGTGGCCAAGCTCTATGTGTGGTTTAGGATACCTTTCATAGCTTTTCTGTAGCCATTCAGACTATGAGAGATCGTTGGGAAAAGTTTGGTTCAGATCCTCCTTTGTAGGAGACAACTCTGGGAGCTTCCTTTTACTTTTGTTTGATCATTTCCCAAACGTATTGAGGATCGGTGTGGCGAGACAGAGGAATATTTATTGCTGCATGGGATTCTGTATAGGCTGTAACTGAAGATGAAGGAATAGTCGATGCACAGGAGATTCTGTGTACTCCAACAGTACTTCATGGACTGTAGATTTCTGTAGGAAACAGAGGTTTAAAAATATGTGTGATATGAAGTCCATAGAAAGCCCAAACTTGAACTGTACATCTATTACCGTGCACCATACTTACAACTGTCAACTTTTCCTTTAATCCATATTACGCATAGTTAAGACTGGCTTGTAGTTTATTATCCTGAAACGTTGCCTTGTCAGTGTTCGAGGGTACAGCATTTAGACCATAAGTAATCAAGCCTCTTGGTCCCAGTTCACAACATGTAACTCCAAGGTAAGTATTTTTAAAAGGAGGAAGTAAGGAGAAAGAACTCAACTCTAGACT